CATCTAGGATTGGCCTTTCGAGGATGACGTTATATGTGGTCGGGCAGTCTTCCACCAGGAATTCAGCCATCACAGTTCTGACCTTCGATTCTGCCCCTAGAGTTACGGGGAGGTCGATAGTATATTTGGAAACCAGGCTGTCCCCGGTGAACCCATAGAGTGGCGAAGGGCACACCTGTAAATTCCTTTATGTGAATCCCATTCCTTGGAAGGCTCCCAAGAAAATAATATTTTCCACGCTCCCATTGTAAACCATAATCCTTAATACTCTTGCGTTGTCAATCCTGGCTGCGATTACAACTGTGTAATGATCATGACGAGAGGATGTTTCGTACTCATCGACTGTGAACCCCACTACCTTGCTTTTCTTTTTGGGCCACTTGGGCCGCTTCTGTTCGCAACTCATTATTTAGGGGATTGAGTTTGTTCTGGCCTCCCAAGTGTATTGCTCGTGGGATCGCCTTGAGCTTCCTGCTATATACGGTCCTCTATAGATTATATTCACAAAGACCTCATTGGAGTTTGGCGGAGCCTGTTGACCTAGGGTCTGTGTTTGGCCTGAGACCTGGTTACTTTGCTCACCAAGATTCTCTCGAGTTGGTTCTGCCTTAACAAATTCTTTCAAATGACCTCTTCTTATCAGGTCCTCAATGACGCCCTTCAGAGCCCTGTAGTCATTCATATTGTGCTTGACATCCATGTGATACCAATAATATTTTTGCCGATCTCTTTCTCCTAAAGCCCCCCTCATTCTTTCTAGGCGGGCAGCCTCTTCGCCTCTCGGGATACCTTATAGATGTGGGCGATGTTTGAGTGAGGGGGGTGTACTCTACATACCGCAGGAAATGCTGCCTGTCTATGCAGTTATCTACTCTCTGTTTCTTTGGGAATCTGTTGCGATCCCTGTCGCTACTGTCTTGGCCCTTACGCTTATTCGAGGAGCGATCTTGTCTCTTGTCCGATGCCTCCCGTGTCGAGCTCCTAGCTAGTGCCGCTAACGAGCTTTCTACTTGTTGGTATTTTGGGGCCATCTGGTAGAATTTGGAAAAACTCACATGGTCTTCGCTCTTTCCACAGCTCTGTGTTAGGTCTCGTGTTAGGTTTGATCCCTGCGATCAAGAGAGTCCGAATGGATTCTTCGGAGGCATCAACGACCTTTGTCTGCTCGTTCTGGAACCTTATTAAATACGAGATTAGCGATTCGTCTCGCTCTTGGCGAATGTTGCTCAAGTAGTTGAGCGACATTGCGAACTGTCTCCTCGCTTGAGATTGGTGCAGATATAGTGTAGAGAATTGTTGCCAAGAGTTGATGGAGTTTGCCTTGAGCCATTTGTACCACCTCTTGGCATCTCCGACTAATGTGACTACGAAGGATTGACATTTCGCTAAGTCACTGACCTGGTGTAGCTCTATTAGGTCATTAAAGTTGTCAAGATGATCTTCGAGGTCCCCTCTCCCGTCGAACTTGCTTTCTGGTGCCCTGAATCCTTGTGGGAGTGAGGCATGTCGAACTTCCTTCGTAAAAGGGGAACTTACTATTTCTTCTGCCAGGTTATTCTGGTGAGCTTTTAGATCGTCGAGCATCCTTTGCATGCGATCTAGGTCTTCATTTTGGTTCCCCTGGTTGGCTCTGTTAAGTTGTACCTTGAGCAAGTGGGTTCGCAAGTCTGTTGCTTGTGAAGCTCTTCCGACGCGCGAGTTGATAGGCGAGGTCGAGTCATGATGGCAAGGTTGGTAGGTGCTATCATACTTATCGGTGCATTGCTCGCGACGTTAGTTATAACCAGAACGTCGGTCATTGGCAAATTCATGCACATGGCTGGCTTCGTGAGCCTGCGAAGACCAATCTTGTTTTGGGCGTGGGTTAAAATTGGCACGCTGATGTTGGGATACCGCCGAGCTTCTCAGTGGTGTCCATCACCTTTACTTTCCCTCAACGGTTGCTTCCTCGACCGCCTCCCGTGGTTTGTTTGCCTGTGGGACTCTGGCTTGTGCGTGAGGAGCTGCTTGCGAGGTTGGCGGTGTTGATCACCCCCTGGTGGCAACAAAACAGACTGTCGACCTGTAGAATTCATACCTGTTTGGGTAATGTTGGTGAAGCACGACTGGTCGGGGTTCTGGGTGACTGGTTGTTGGTTCCTTAGCTCAGACACGGTCTATTGCACCGCCTGTGCAACCATTGTTCTGATCATCTCCATCAGTTAGTCGTTCTTGGAATTTGATGTCCTTGCTCCCTGATTGTTTACGACGTGTTGAGCTGGTGGCACTGGTGGTCGATGTCCAACGTTCTTCTGTTGCACCTCCTGGTGGGCGGTTTCCATGTTCTCGTGATTTCTGGTGGTAGTTCTTGATCTGGTGAACACCATTTTGGTCCTAGGACGGGTAAATCGTGGTGAATGTTTGCCGAGATCTTTGAAACAGTGGCGGAGGCCCTCCTTCTAATGCCAAAATGTTGATACAAAAATCTGCACCAACTAGCGAGATCTGATCGACCTTGTCAGGATCGGAACTGATGTGAGCGTTATTACGGGTAATCAGCGATGAGTGAATGATAATGCCAGAAAGTATATGACAAAGAGAACTTTTAAAGTGGTTCGGTGAAGTTAACTAGCTACGTCTACTGTGTTTTGTGTATATGATGTGAGAGCTTATAATATAGTTGTAATCCACAATTCGTATTCCCCTCCTCATCGTTTTAGGGGGTTTATATACAAGATTTATATAAAGGAAAGAGCGAAATTAAGAGGATTACAAATGATTTGAATCACAATTCTGATATCCTTGCGATTGAGCGCTTTGATTGTGCAACGATAACTGTTGATCTAGTTATTCCAGCGATATCCGGGATCTAAAGTAATCTGAGGATTGATTGATTAATTCCTAAGATTGTCCACGACTAGCTTGTACTGGGTCAAGCTATGGCTTGACGAGCTTATGCTGGGTCGATCAATCATAATCACCAAGGACATTCTGGGCCGAGCTATATCCTCGCGCTGGCCCGAGCTTGGCGGAAAAACCACACACAACAATAATATAAAATGCATGCATTGATCAAACCATGTAAAACCATCCACAGTATTGTTAAGGTCATCTCCCTTTTAATTAAGTTTATGTTACAACTCAAGCGTCATCTCCCTTTTAATTAAGTTTATGTTACAACTCAAATCGATGCGTGCTGATAATGAAAGTGTAATCTTCCCATCATATACAACAACTATATATGCGAATTCAAATCCAATCATATTAGTATTACATTATTCTAAAGTATGATGTTAGATGAGATGTCATAGTCATTCATACATTAAATTTAAGAATTATTGATTACCCATCAAGAACACTCATCTAACTACTTCTAATTGATCGAGTGGTTTGATAAAAACTTTTGGGTGTATTACTCAAGAGTTCTTAAATCCAAGTCTCTCCTTGGTTGTTAATAGGGGTAGCCATAAGAGTCTGGAACTCTTATTCGACCAGTAGTTCTAAGGTCTCAGGGGATTAGTTGAGATGTGCATAAGCTGACCCGGATACCCTCGGTAAAAAAAAAAAAACACACACACACACACACACATACACACTTAATGTCTAAATTACTTATAGTTAATGTTTAATTAATAGTTCACAATGAGCAATTGTTTCCATTTAATTAACTTAAAAGAAATACTGTAAGTGAAAAGAATATAAATATAAAAGAAATGGGTTAAAACTCCTATAATTATTTGTTTTTCTTTTTAATTTTTATATAATTCTCAAATGGGCCGGTTGTAGTGGGCCTAAAAAACAATAAAATCTGTATCCAAACATAGCATAATGGGCTCAGTATAGGTAGCTTCATATTCAGCCTCCACCCATGGGTTCAATTTTATCTGCATGCTGCTGGTTTTGTGTCAAAGAAGCTTTAGAGTTTAAGTCAATGTCCAAGTCTACGAATACGACTCGACAAAGGCAGATAATGACATGCTTTAGAGTTGATTAATTCAAGATGAAGATGTTTTGACTTTTGATGCCTTGATGGGTGATTAGATACGTATCAGCTGGCCAGTTGTACTAACCATTAATTGTTAATTAAACAAGTAATTGCCTTGTTCTTTCTCTTCTCTCTTTTTTTTTTTTTTTATAAACCAAAATGATATAATAATCAGAAAGGATTTTAAAATCTCGCATTCCCGTGTGAATTATGAGAAAGGCGGGTATTACGATGTTCGGTTTTTTATTTGGGTAGTTATTAGAATAATGTTTAAAAAAAAGTTAAATTAAGTACGTAGTACTATGTAAAATTTTAAAAATTAATATATATATATCCTTTATATTTATTTATTTATTTATTAAATACTCTTATAATAAAATATTTAAAATTAACAAAATATCTCCAATCTACTCATAAATAGAGACAGTCAACCACCACCTTGGAAGGTGGTCAAAGTTGTGGTATCGGGTCGTATGACCAAATAGATTTGGTTTGAAAAGATTAGATCTGTGGCTAGATCTAGTCATTGACAGTTAGATCTAGCTATATTTGATCGTCAACAATGGTCAAAAATACTACCATCATTGATGACTGTCTACGGTCAAAGATCTGATATTTTCTAACCAGATCTAATATGGATCTAGCTGAAAAAAGCTAGATCGATGTACTACTGGTCAGATTTAGTTGGTAATTTGTCATTATATCAGATTTTGGTCAGCTTTTGACAGTAGTGGTTAGAATATAGTAAATTTAGGTTATTAGGATGTTTTTGTTCATTTTTTAAATTTGTTTTTTTGAAGATTATTTAATTAAATTAATAAATTTAAAAGGTTTTATAGGAAATTGAATAATTTAGAATTAAGGTTAACCAAAGTCAAAACTTTTGGAAAACTAATATGTGAACCAAATGAAGCCACCCGGACTTTTCAGATAAAACCTGATATTAGAATAATAGGGTGGGTGAATTGACGGTGTGAGAGTCATGCTAAAAAATGAAGCATATAAAGAACAAAAAGCTATTAAGTTTTAGCTTTACTGTGATTTGTTATATCAAACTACATTAAATGGCTGAGTACATAGTTTCCCTGATGATTGAAAAAATTGCTGATCAAATTGTGGAGGAAGCTCGTTCCCTGTCAAGAGTGCGCCATCAAGTCGAATGGATTGAAGGCGAATTCAGGCGAATGCAATGCTTTCTTAAAGATGCAGAGGCTAGACAAGACAGTGATGAAAGAGTTAGAAATTGGGTTGCAGATATAAGAGACTGTGCTTTTCAAACAGAAGATGTTATCGACACTTACATATTGAAGATGGCGCGAAAAAGAGGAAAGGGGTTGATCACAGACCTCTTCGAGAGGTACCCTTTTGTTTTCTTTCAAGAATTGATTCATCGCCATCGAGTTAACAAGCAGATAAGAGGGATCAAGATGAGAATTCATGATATTAGTATTAGTCGGACGGCTTATGGTATTGAAAATTTTAGCAGAACGGGAGAAGGGTCTAGTAGTTCTGCGGCTGAGTTTATCCGGGAGAAGAGAAGATCTTATCCTCATGCTTGTGAGGAGGACATTGTTGGGTTGGTGGAAGACATAAAGATTCTAGGAGAAAGATTGATTCATGGGGGATTAGAGCGTTTAGTAATTTCGATCATTGGCATGGCGGGATTAGGTAAGACAACTCTTGTTAAGAAAATTTATCGAAGTAGTGATGTCAAGAAACATTTCAGTTGTTGTGCTTGGGTTTATGTTTCACTAGAGTATAGAGCAGGAGAGGTCTTGCAGGATTTGTGTAAAAAAATCCTGGGGCTTGGAAGGGGGGAGTCGGAGAAAATGAATAGAGAAGATATGGAAGAAGAGTTGTCAAAACACTTGGAAGGAAAGAGGTATCTCATAGTTTTGGATGATATATGGAATAAAGAAGTTTGGGATGATCTGAAAGCAGCTTTTCCTGATGAAAAGAATGGAAGTAGAATAATTTTCACAACCCGCTTCAAAGATGTTGCTTTACATGCTGATCCGAGAAGTCCACCATATGAACCGTGCCTGCTTAATGAGGAAAATAGTTGGGAATTGTTGTCCAGGAAGGCATTTCCGGGATTGAATGCCATGGCGAGCCTGCCTCCTTGGTCTAAGGAACTTGGCAATCAGATTTTGAAGAAATGTGGTGGCTTACCTCTCGCCATTGTAGTTTTGGGAGGTCTTTTATCAAGAAAAGAAGCAACTTATAGTGAATGGCTCAAAGTTGTGCAGAGTCTTCAATGGCAGCTCACAAAAGATCCTGCAAAATGCGCAGACATCTTAAAGTTAAGTTATCAAGAGTCGCCCTTCTATTTGAAATCATGTTTTCTTTATGTTGGCCTTTTTCCTGAAGATTTTGAGATTTCTGCTAGAAGGTTGATCATGTTGTGGGTTGCTGAAGGGTTTGTACAACCAAGAGTAGAAGAACAATTGGAGGATGTCGCGGAGGATTACTTAGAGGAGCTAATAGGAAGGAGCATGATTCAAGCTGCAACTAGGAAATCTAATGGAAGGATTAAGACAATTCGAGTACATGATCTTCTGAGGGAATTCTCCATCTCAAAAGCTAGGGAAGATCAGTTTCTTGATATCATCCATGGAGATAATGTCAATGCCAAGGCCCGAAGACTAGCTATACATTTTGAGATGCCTCATACAACAAGAAATATTTCAAGAATCCGGTCTTTGTTGTTCTTCGACGTCAGTGAACCCGTTCAGTTAACTTTAGAGCACTCTCAACTTCTGAAAGTTCTTGATTTGGAGGGCGTTCACAAAGTTCTGCTTGACTCTTCTGTAGGAAACCTTATTCACTTAAGGTACTTAGGCTTGAGAAAAACTTGGTTAAAGAAGCTTCCTTCTTCAATGAGCAATCTCTTGAACTTGCAGACTCTTGACTTAAGATCCACAATGGTTGATCCGATCCCAGTTGTGATTTGGAAGATGCAACAATTGAGACATCTTTACTTTAATGAGCTTAGGGAGATGGTAGTGAAGCCGCCTGCAGAGGTGTCCCTGAAAAATCTCCAGACACTGCAGGGTTTAAGTGTTGGTGAAACTAGCTGCATAGAGCAAGGTTTGAACAAATTGTCCAATCTCAGAGAGTTAGGATTATTTGGTCAGTTGCTTATGCATGAAGAAGCTTTAGGTAAATGGATTCTTAACTTGAAGGGTCTCTGTTGCTTGAAAATTGATGCAAAAAGTAGTATTGACATTATGGTTAATACCATTCCAAAGCTTATGCCGTTTTCAAATCATGCTCATCTGTATAAGCTTCATTTAAGAGGATTCAAAAAGAAGTTGATTGATGTAGAAGATTTTCCGCCAAATCTTACAGAACTGTGCTTGCAATCCTCGTTGTTGATGGAAGACCCCATGAAAAAGCTTGAAAAGCTGCAAAATTTGAGAGTTTTGAGATTGAAGGAGTCATCATATGTAGGGAAAGAAATGGTTTGTTCTAGTGGGGGGTTTCCGCAACTGCATTTCTTGAAACTATCTCGCTTAAATGCAGTTCAGAGGTGGAGAATAGAAGAAGGAGCAATGTGCAATCTCAGGCAGCTGGAGATTGTGGAGTGTAAGCTGTTGAAAATTGTTCCAAGAGGATTGTGGCCAGTGACTAGTCTTCACAATTTGAAGTTAGGCTTCTTGCCATTGGAATTTGAAAGGATGGTTCAAGACCGAAAGGGAGAAACTTGGTACAAATTAGAGCATGTAATGCCAATGTAGAGAAAATTTCTGTGTTTCCATGTACTTTTTCCTCCACATCATGAAAAGCTGACCTTTCAGAAGATTTTGTGAATGTTAATGAATATAGAAACAAGTTTAGCCTTAAGTTAAATTTGGCTGAACTTTGTGACTATAATAATCCACAGGAAGGATTCTATTTGTGTATAATTTCAGCTAGAAATTAGCTATCACATTATCTTTTGCTGAGCTCTGGCATTTGGCTCATGGTAAACGATAGGCATTTCGCCTGATTTTAATAAATTTAGCAAAAATCAAGGAGGCTCCTGTCTCCTGATCGATCAATTTGTAACTTAAGTATCCACCAATTCTATTTGATATCTAGAGATGTACATTAATAAAATTATTTTATACTGAATATTCTGTGTAGTAGTGAGACCTACCATGACTGTTTGTGAAAGAAAACAAGGAATGCCAAGTGGATGAATGGGTGGCTCCGGTTGTTGGAAACCATTGAAATGGGCACGTAGGATATGATGGGGCCATCAACAAAGCTCTTTCTGTTTCCTCCACTTTCTAACCATCTATTTCTCATCACATATTCCTTATGTTATAGGATTTATAATCATCAACCAGACATTCAACTAACTACCACAACACACTGACACAAAGAAGAGAAATACACAGGTTCTCTATTTCTCGAACACTTTGAGAGGTGAAGATTGAACGAATGGCAGTGGTTATGGCAGTTAGATCTTCAGCCACTGCTAAACTGTCTCTTCCTTCTTCTTCTTCCTCTTCTCCTTCTTTGCCTTCCACACAAAAAGTTTCATCCAAGCCTCAGTTGAAACCAAGTTCTGTAGTACTTCCAACTTCAACCACAGCTGTCTCTCTGTTGGCCCTCTTCAATGCCCCCCTTGAAGTCAAAGCTCTCACTCTTGACAAAGACCAGATTGTATCCTCCCTCACTGAGGTAATAACATCTTCGCATGTTTATAATTTGAGAAAGTTTTGATGTCAAAAACAAGAAATAATCTTTCAGATAGAGGCAGTTCCCAAGTTTAGTCAATACCCATTTTTCTCAACCAATGTTTTTGCTTTCTGAGCTGTGAAAAATGCCTCACAACTGCTAAACAAGCTGAGATTTAATTCTTTGTTCAATTTTTTTAATACCAAGTTCATAAAATGGTGTATCCGCTGTGCATTGTCTTTACCTTTAGAGCAAGCATTAAGCTACTACCCAGTTCATGAAATGTTGGATTTGTGTTTCCTAAAATTGATTACTTTTTAGGTGGAGAAAACAGTTGGTCAAATGCAGGAAGTGGGTTCAAGTGTTATAGATACTACACAGAAAATTCTCGAAGTTGTAGGGACTGCTTTGAAGCCAGCCATTGACGTGGCATTGCCGATTGCGAAGCAAGCCGGAGAACAGGCATTGAAGATTGCTTCTCCAGTAATTTCTGAGGCCACAAAGAAAGCTCAAGAAGCAATTCAAGGCACTGGTGTTGATACAGAACCAGTTCTCAGTGCTGCCAAGGTTTGCCTTTATCTTTGTTAACTGCATTTTTATTTTCTTCGCTTCTTTTGGGTTAATGCTTCAGTTTACAAATGCTTGGTTGCTTCTGGAATTTATTAAATTGAGTATTATGTGTTAAAACTGCGACTTATTTCTATAGTTCAACTTTACTCTGTGAGCCTGTGTATCAAATGGGAACTTCTTGGTTATTTGGGGAATTTTGTTCTGGGTTTTGGATCGATGGATTTTTCAAATGTAATTATAAATGGGTTCAATGCCAGTGGTTCTATTTGATTTAAATTTCTTTCTATTGGAATATACTAATGTGCATTTTGACATATTGGAAAAGTACTGAAGCTGCTAGTTTTGTTGCTTCTGAGCCTTTGAAATGAAAACAAAATTCATGGAAGAGAAGATAATTAGATATTCATGGATTTATACTATATTAGTTGTTTGTGTTTTATGAGGATATGAACGATTTTGCTTGAGAATATTTTAATGGTTCAGGATTTTGTTGTTCACACTTGTTTGAAAAAACTTACAATAAATGACCTCATTTTGTCATTCTCTATCACAGTTCTGTTTTCAAATTCTAAGTGAACCAGAAAACTGTTAGCTTTTGGATGATTAAGGACATGCACATAATATTCTTGTAGTTAGTAGTCAATGTGCTAAGAGTAATTGTTTGTATCTCAAATTAGTTGATCAAAACTTGGCATTTTTTTGTAATATTTTGATGCAAATGTTGGCTTTGAGGTGGTAGATAATCTAAAAGCCCTGGTTTCTGAACTTCCATTCAAAAAATGAATTATCTCTTTTGTCACAGACAGTTGCAGATGCAGCAGAAAAGACCACGAAGGTCATCGGAGATGCCAAGCCTATAGCTGCATCAACTGTTGAAACCATCTCATCAGCAGAACCTGTTGTGATTGTTGGAACTGCAGGAGCATTGTTTCTTACATACCTGCTTCTTCCTCCCATCTGGTCCGTCATCACATTTAGCCTTCGTGGTTACAAAGGTGATTTAGCTGTTTTCATGGAGTTGCTTCGTATTATGCAAATTCCTTGTGGTTGCATATATATTTAAGAATCTGAGTTGATTTGAGATTCATATCTGCTAAGAAAGCATGTCTAGAGAAGTTTCTCATCTTAATTTTTATTTCCTTAAATGATTTTAAATTTGCATATTAACAAGACCACAATCACCACGGTATTAAACTTAGCAAACTCATCGTTGGCTCCAAATTTGTGCATCCAAAAACAAAACAAGTAATTATGTAAAAAGAATGTACAGAAAATGAATTTTTTATGTATTTCTTTTTTCAAGTTTTACCCTTGCAGTTTTGTATCTCAGGAGTCAATGTTATAATGTAGAGCTAATTTTTTTGTTATGTTACACATTAGGTGAACTAACTCCTGCTCAGTCGCTCGATGTAATTACTACGAAAAATTATGTTATGATTGATATTCGATCAGAGAAGGACAAGGATAAGGCTGGGATTCCTCGCCTTCCCTCCAGTGCTAAGAACAGGATGATTTCAATCCCGTAAGTAAATCAATAACCATGCTTCTTGACTACATTTACTTCTCCTCCATGCTCAACTACCAATTCAGAGCTAAAAGTATTTTTGTGAAAGGTATAAGATCATGTATCTACTCTCTGTTTGCTCTCGGACTTTTCATCCAATCTGTCTCGCTGCTTCGATGCATTGGATGGTTGTGGCAAAGTGTACAACTTTTAGTGTCACTGTTGGTAGAAAAAATAATTCTTTTATACGAGTATAAATACAAATTCATTTTTCATGTCCTATATATGATTGTCATCAATGTAAACAAACATTTATTTCTTTATTGTTTTGATGTTTTAGTTTGGAAGAGCTACCCAGCAAGTTGAGGGGCCTTGTCAGAAATTCAAAGAAAGTAGAAGCTGAAATAGCAGCTCTAAAGATATCATATCTGAAGAAAATTAGCAAAGGCTCCAACATCATAATCATGGACTCGTGGGTTCTTCTGCCTCACCTCTCTTGTTGCAAATGAAATCTAATATAGCTTATTGTTGCACGTTACCGTATTTTGTCTAGTGTTTGGTCATTTTTGTATTGTTTACACCACTCCTTGCTACTTGATGTTTTTCAGGTACTCAGATTCGGCTAAAATTGTTGCAAAAACACTAACGAGGCTTGGCTTCAAGAATACCTGGATTGTAGCTGATGGATTTGCTGGAAGGAGAGGATGGTTACAGAGTCGATTAGGAACAGATTCATACAACTTTTCCTTTGCAGAGGTTCTCTCACCATCCAGAGTCATTCCTGCTGCGGCCAGACGTTTTGGTACAACTAGCACAAAGTTTCTGCCTGGTTCTGAATAAAACTTTTTGCCCCATCTGATAAAAGATTAAAAGTCACGGAATGTTCATTCTTGGTTTAGATAGAAATCTATCAAATGATCTCCTGTAATTCTTTGATTAATGTTGGTTGATTGATCTTTTTCCTCATCAAACCCTGTCTACATTCCATTCTTTGAGGCACTGGTCTTACATATTGGAGTCAGATAACAAATGAACAAATTCCTTGTGCGGGATGGTAAACCCTTTAGCTACTGTTAAAGTACCATCTCTGCCGCCCTGCAAAACACAAAGTTTGGGTGCATTTGTTTTAGTATTTTGGATAAGATTTTAAAAAAAGTAAGAGTTAGGTGGTTATTACGAGATCAGATTTGAAAATTAACAAAAATAGATTTGTTAATTTACTAAACACTAATGTAATAAAACATTAAAAATTAACAAAAATACCCTCATCTATCCATTAAATACTGGCAGTCGGTCACCCTCCAAGTTGTCGTATCGGTGCATGATCAATTGGATCTGATCAGTCTTGCACTGATATGACCTTTTCCAGCCATATCCACTATGGATCTGGTCGAAAAATACCAGATCTACGGTTAGATCTGGTTGTAGATCTGACATTTTTCGACCAAATCTATGATGGATTTGACCGGAAAAGGCTAGATTGGCGCACTACCGACCAAATCTAGCCGGTATTGCATTATTATACTAGATTTCGATCACCTTTCGATAATGGTGGTTAGAATTTGGCAAATGTGGGTGGGTGGGGGTGTTTTTGTTAATTTTTAAACTTTTTTTAAAGATGTTTAGTTAAATTAATAAATTTAAGGGGTTTAAAAATAATTAAATAAAATAGAAAAAGATTTTCAAAATAAGAAACAAATGTGTATTTTGGGTAGGAGAGAGATATGATAGTGCAAAAATATTAAAACAAATGCATGCTTAATCTCTAGGTTTAATTCATGTAAGAAAGATCAATGATGGAAATATGGATTAATTGCTAAATTGTTTAAGATAATTAAAATATTATTACACTTAAAAATTACCTAATACTTTTCAAAGAGTATTAAACACCCAAATTATAATATAAAAAGGAAAAAAGATATAATATAAAATTATGAATTGTGAATTGTGAATTGTGAATTAATAAAATAAAAAAAAAATATTTTAATCAAGTCCATCCAAATTGTGTGAGCAGTTCTTGATCAACTTTGTTTGAATGACTTGTAAAGGAAGATAGTGACCGGACAGATAACGTTAGACGAAGAATAACGCAACCGTCGCCTCCACTGATGTGGGACCGTGGGAAGCCACAGCCAGCGCCTGCGCAGTTCCTTTTATTGAACTCATGAATGTTTTTTGAAAGTTATTTTGGTGCCATATCACCACCGTCGCTCCAATACCAAACCAACCAGTTCATCATCAACTACTCACCCAGCACGTGTTCCCACTTGTTTTTTTATTTCGTGAAATAAAATATTGAAACCCCATCTCAAACCTCTGCAGATATAAAACTTTTACAGAATTTCTATACTAAAGTCTAGTCTTTTCCAAAATTGATTACAACAGAAACAGAGGAAACAGTGAGGTTTAGAAATGGCCACTGCACCTCACACTTATAAGTCACTTGATGGTATCTCGAGGAGCGATATCGAAGCCCTGGGAATACCCTCGAAACTTGCTGACCAACTTCACCAGAAGCTCACCGAGATCATCGTTAATTATGGGGCTGCCACGTCCGACACGTGGCGGAACATCTATAGACACATCCTTAATCCCGAACTTCCCTTCTCTTTTCATCAGATGCTCTACTATGGTTGCTACAAGGACTTTGGACCCGACCCGCCTGCTTGGTTGCCCCACCCGTAATTATATCTGATTCCCTGAGCTTTAAATTTAGTGATTCAGGCTCTTTAATATCTATGTATTGATGAATTTACAGAATGCTGCGAATTATAGGGATACTTTCAAATTTCATAAAACATTTGTTATCTTTTATTTTATTTTTTTGGTTGGTTGACTTTTCACTATTTTCTAGTCTTTTATCTTAAAACTATATTGATGCATTTTTCAATTCACTATTGCAAAATTCAATGCATTAATATAATCTATAATGTTTCAAAGTTTATGTTGTTGTTGCTATAATCTTGTGTTTTCGATATTCTTGGATGAAAGAATCTTCTTATACATGTAATCTGAAGAAGGATTGATATAATCATTCAATTGCTTGTTGTATGGGTAGGGAGGCTGCAAATTTAACAAATGTTGGGCAGTTATTAGAGAGGCGTGGAAAAGAGCTTTTGGGGTCAAGATACAAGGATCCCATATCCAGTTTTTCTGATTTTCAGGAATTCTCAGTCTCAAACCCTGAGGTATATTGATATAACTTTAAAGGTGACATTTCTATTGCTGTAAAGACTTAAGACTTGTGCTTTGCTTGTACTGTGATTTTATCACACGAATATGGTTTCTCATCTCTTGACTTGCTAGGTGTATTGGAAAACTGTTCTAGATGAAATGAATATATCGTTTTCAGTACCTCCCCAGTGTATTTTACGTGAGAATGCATATGGGGTGGCAAACCCAGGTGGGCAATGGCTTCCAGGAGCATATTTGAATCCTGCAAAAAATTGCTTGAGTTTAAAAAGTGGTAGAAGTTTGGATGACATTGTGATTAGATGGCGTGATGAAGGAGATGACAATTTGCCTGTAAAGAGCATGAATCTCAAGGAATTGCGTACAGAGGTTTGGTATGCTACTTTTCATCTATAAGCTTTGTGAAAAGTTGTTTGTCTGTAGGATAAATATATGATTATTTCATAATAGAATCATTAAAAGCAAAGCAAGGTAGATAGTGGAAGTTATAAGAAAATGTCATCGTGATATGAATAAATGATCTTGTGCTGCAATCAGCATATTAAAGAGTAGTTATCTTTGGTGCTTCCATTCAAATGGCAAGCTTTAGTCTAATTAAATAGTTGGTCCTTAGAGGACAACTTTCAGAGTTTCCTGTATTAAATTGTACATGTGAAGTTTGGTAGGCCACAGTGGATGTTGTAGTTTTCAATTTCTTGTAGTGATTGTGCTTTATAAGAGCTGCATAAGCATAGTGTCTTATGTTCTATGGAAACTATTGAATTTAAGTAGTAAGATGAGGCTACATGATGTTTCTAACATTCTTTCCGTTCAAAGTTTTAACAGTTCTGAATATTGTGTGACCCAAAATTTTGTTGGCTCATATTGTGTAGGTTAGTTGCATATGCACTCAATGCACTGGGGTTGGAGAAGGGATCTGCAATTGCAATTGATATGCCAATGAATGTCAATGCTGTGGTTATCTACCTAGCAATTGTTCTGGCAGGATACATGGTTGTATCCATTGCTGATAGTTTTGCAGCACTTGAAATATCAACAAGACTCAAAATATCAGAAGCTAAAGCCATATTTACTCAGGTTATCATCCGTTTCCTTTTGAAGGACCATAAAATGCATCTCTACTTTTTTGTGTTTCATGGATGTGTTTGAGCTTTTTGGTGTTTGTAACTCTAATTTTGGTCAAGGCTGTGTCTTTTGAAGTTTTAATTTTTCCTTTCCATTTTCACATGATTTTCTTATTTTAGTGAGCTCTAAGCTTTTTGGCGTATTTATATGCTTTACTGTAGAATCGTCCAATAGGTACACAGAGAATCTCATGGTAAGAATTAATCATCATTCTCTTTTTCTTGTAAATCATAATTTTACCATCTGTCACATATGAGTTAATCTATCTTTGCCATAATGTCTGCAGTTGTTTTAGTGAAGTCCATTATTATGATTATGCAATTATTGTTTTCAAAAAATAATATAAAAGAAGAATTAAGCTGAAATGAGGGAACTGTGCTCAAAGCTTGTAACTTTTAGATGAGCAGTTTTGAATGCAGAAGTAATCTGTTATACTGAATCTCTTGTTGGGACAGGGACCTAGTATTGAGGCTGTAACTGATAGGGTAATTGGTTGCTTGCTCTTCTGTTAGGGACCAAAAGGCCTGTATGAGATTTTGAGGGGCTTAGAAAAGCTCTATTTATTTATTTATAAAATGTAGACTGAGAAGCTTTTAAACACATCAATAGCATCATTTAGTGGTTTAACATTTAGATCATCAAAATATGGTTTGGCATTTATATTTATGGAATAGAAAGCAAGCATCAAGCTTTTACTGGTAAAATTTGATCATCTTTATCAACTCTAGCATCTAAGTTGGTTTAATTCACTCTTCATTCATGTGAAATCATCTCTTTTCTTGTCAGGATGTAATCATTCGTGGTGTCAAAAGTATACCGCTGTATAGGTAAAGTTTTCAAACTCTCTAGCCATATTCTTTTATTGTCTGTTTTTCCCTTATATTTATACTCTACTCGCTCTCATAGTTTAGCTTTGGTTCTGCAGTAGAATTGTGGATGCCCAAGCACCTATGGCTATTGTTATTCCAGCCAGAGGCCCTGGTGGCAGTATGAGATTGCGTGATGGTGACATTTCTTGGCATGATTTTCTTGGAAAAGTCAGAAATTTCAAGTATGGAGCTTGTTTTCTGTTTCATCTATACTATCATTTTTAGTCTTTGTGCCTGATTATCCATGGTCTTTCACACCATTTTATCCTACTTTTGTAAAAATTAAATGGGAATGATTTTTACCTTGTTTTGAAGCTTCACATTCTATTCTTGATGATATCTTTTACGTTTCTGACCTAATATTTTATAAATTTAATTTTATCTAAATTTATTGAGACATAATCTAAAGGAATAAATCAATAAAGACATCAATCTGGTTTGAAACTTTAGGATTTATGAAATCAAGAAATTGAAAGGAAAATTTAGGAGAAAAGGGTAAACTGGAAAAAGAAGTCACAAGAGAAGGAAAAGATAGACATGGAAAAAATAACATACGAGGCAAACATGCCTAGTTCCTGTCCCCATTCTGATTCATGTACCAGTTGATTAATTGCATGTAAGCACCTCATGCTTGGAATTGCTTTATTGACCCATGTATTTTTCTCAAAGTTACTTGATTAATGATCTCTGCATGTGTGAAAAATAATAAATATCAGTGAAGCTCTGATGCTGATGCTGTGTCTGTCCATCTTTTACATTAAACCTGCAGAGAATATGAATTTGCAGCTGTTGAACAATCAGTAGAAGCATTTACAAATATCCTTTTCTCATCTGGAACCACAGGTATCTGAAAGAATAAACATCATGAAGCTTTCTTGAATGATTTCATTTACATAGAAAATTGGTACTTCCTTCTGGAGCACAAACTGGTCAATTTGCAGTTTGAAGTTATATTGTCAAAAGTCATCCTGCTTAAAGTATACTGGATTCCTGTTGTATTCTCCAAATATAGTAACTTTTGTGGTGCCGTAATATTAAAATAATCTAAACTCTGAAGGTTTCACGAAATTCTAGAGGCATCATAAATGAAAATGAAAAGATGAAACTTTGTGGTAAATATATCAGAGTTGCAACCATAAGTGTAAAGTAATGGTACTGTGGATATTTTGTCTCATCACAGTATTTCTCAACTGTCTTCTACTTTAGGTACTTTTAACATCCAAGAAAGGAGAAGGAATTCTGTTTAAAAATCCATTTTAATTATACCAAAGGACTAGAATGGGGATAGAAATATTTTCTTGTGTAACCAGGGTGTATCCTGTTGATGGCACAACTGGGTGCTTCAGAGTTCAATTGATTTGTCACAGTTAGAATGTACCACTTATGCTGTCAGTGAAACAAGGCCAGTGATGACTGTTGAGGAAATACCGTGGGCTTTATATGTGTTTCTAATGAACTTTTCACATTCTAGCAAGAATAATAAGGAAACCAAAAACCTTACATACAGAGACAGATACTTAAGGGATGAGGATATCAACTCGTTAATAGTACTAAAAATTTAAGATTCAGTATAAACAACTCATTGAGCATGAAATGCGGATTAGGAGAAATAAGTGGCAAAATATTTCCTGGAAATATAAGAATGAAGTTTTCCTTCATAAAAAATATTTAGATTATTGAATTCTCTTGAGCTCCCCTTTGAATACAATAAAATACTATTGGTTGGATAACTATATGATTAACTTCACAAATTTGAGAAGGGTATTGGATTCAGTTTTAATTTTTATTAACCGAAATCGCATTTAAAGTATAATTGGCTAGTAAGGACCTGACTAAGCTTATTTTCTGTTATAGGGGATCCAAAAGCAATTCCATGGACCAATGCAACTCCTCTGAAAGCTGCTGCAGATGCATGGTGCCACATGGATATCCGTAAAGGGGATATTGTTGCTTGGCCAACTAACCTGGGGTGGATGATGGGTCCTTGGTTGGTGTATGCATCATTGTTAAATGGAGCTTCAATAGCTTTATATAATGGATCCCCCCTTGGGTCTGGCTTTGCTAAGTTTGTACAGGTAGAGAATAATGTGCATGCTAGAATGCTGTTTCTAAGTCTTGTTTTTGAGTTTCTGTCAGTAACTCTTCCGCAACAATCTAGAGATGCTACACTACCCTATGAGAAAGATTCCAAACATACTTCCAAAAACAATTACCATCTGAAGCAAATTTATTTACATGCGCCTTTTATTTTTACATTAGATAAGAAAATATTGTTTTGCCAATTTCCTCTGTTAAAGTTTATTTCATTCCTTTTATAGACACAGACTGAAACATGACTATTTTGATATGAACCTTTTTGAAATGACATCGCTGCCACAGTTACCTCTCTATATTGTGTCAAATATTTTATATGTAGACATTTAAAAATTAAAAATTTCTGTTTAATTTCCTGTAATTTCTTTAGGATGCTAAAGTAACAATGCTTGGTGTTATCCCTAGTATTGTTCGGACATGGAAAAGTGGGAATTCTGTAGCCGGCTATGATTGGTCTGCCATTCGGTAAGTCCTGGATGTTACTACTGATGTTGTTTATTCTTCACAAAACAGGATTCTCAATGGGCTTATAATGTCATTAGCATGCATGTGATTTGTTTGACCAAAAATCAGTTGTATTGGTGCTGTTGATTGTGCTCCGATTATTGATTGTTTCTGGCTGTATTGGTTATTTGGAAACTGGTAGGTGCTTTGCCTCCACTGGAGAAGCTTCTAATGTGGATGAGTACTTATGGCTGATGGGGAGAGCTTGTTACAAACCTGTCATTGAATATTGTGGTGGTACCGAGATTGGTGGTGGATTTGTTTCTGGATCATTATTGCAAGCTCAATCATTGGCTGCTTTTAGTACACCAGCTATGGGCTGCAAGTTGTTTATTCTTGGAGATGACGGTGTTCCTATAGTAAGCACTAGTGAACTTTTTATTTATATGCTAGGCAAGATTTACCATTATTGCACTGAAGCAAAATTTTAATTCAAGCCTCTTCTTTATCTCCTGAATATTTCTATTATTGACAGATTTATCTAATTATTATCTATTAGTGAACCCAAATTTATTTTTTGGATTTGATAATGGTTCCAACTGAAATCAGGGTTTTTTTTTTGGACATATATTCTGTTTCTTTAAATATATGCAGCATTTGAACTAATTTGCTTAAACTTTTCAATTATAGCCTCAAAATGCACCAGGGATGGGTGAATTGGCGCTTGGTCCTCTCATGTTTGGTGCTTCAAGTAAACTCCTGAATGCTAATCACTATGATGTCTACTTTAAGGGAATGCCTTCTTGGAATGGACAGGTAAACAAAACTTGCCACCTTAATTCTAGTGTATGGTTGAGGTCGTTGATGGAACTTCTATACTTGATTTTTACTTGTACAGATTCTGCGAAGGCACGGGGATGTGTTTGAGCGCACTTCTAGAGGAAATTATCGTGCACATGGCCGTGCAGATGATACCATGAATCTTGGGGGCATAAAGGTAATGCTTTTGAAATTATGGCTTTGGATGTATGAATTTCAAGTGTCATGTGCCCATGCAAACCAGTTTATGATCAGGTGGAGGACAATTTTTTTTTTTTTTTTTGCTTTAATATGTTTTGTTCTATTTGACAGGTTAGTTCGGTTGAGATTGAGCGCATCTGTAATACAGTTGATAGCAACGTCCTTGAAACAGCAGCCATTGGGATGCCACCACCAACTGGTGGACCTGAACGACTCATAATTGCCGTTGTATTCAAAGATTCAAGCAACTCACCACCGGACTTGAATCAACTGAGGATGTCTTTCAATTCAGCAGTGCAAAAGAAACTAAATCCTTTGTTCAGGGTATCGATTTCAAGCTCTACTCCTGTGCCCATCAGCTAAGCATTAAGCACTACAGAATTGACATTCTAACTCAATGCTAAAAACATACATGTGCAGGTCTCTCATGTCGTTCCCGTTCCATCCCTTCCAAGGACGGCGACAAATAAGGTGATGAGAAGGGTGTTGAGGAAGCAACTTGCTCACAACAATTCTAAACTATGATGAATGGATACTTGCAACAAGCGGAGTTGAAGAGTTGAAGTTACGCGCATACACACTTTCATGTATTTGCTTGCCGTTGTTTTCGTATGTTTGATTAATTGATGTTATGATCCATATAAGGCGCAGTAATTTTTATGTCGCTATTGTAGAAGTTAATGTACAAGTAACCATACAATACATTTAACAAACATCATCTTGAGTGTTGCAGGAAATTATGTTCGGAGAAATAAAATGAGTTACATAATTCCCATCAATAACCTTCTATACACACACACACACACACACACACACACATATACGATCGAGAGTGTTTGAGTCAGTTTATGTGTACTTTAGTTAATCCACTAGGACTCTGAAACTATCGACCAAGTAAGGGCACTAGTGGTTAGTGGTCATCCCTTATTAGCCATCAAAGAAGGATTCGAATTAAAGATTTCTTGAGTAATACATCCAAAAGTCTTTATCGAATCACTCGACTACCTAGGGATTGGTTAATATATTATCTTTATGACTCAAGAAATTTATCAATTTGAATTAGATTATTACTCTTAAAAGTTTTGAACAGAACAAAAAGGAATTATCTACGAAAAATGATTTAAAAATTAGAAAAATAATAAACTATATGGGTCATATTACCTCAGCTAGATTCAATATTTTAATAACATTAAACAAACGTTTCTTAAGATATTTTAAAAGAAACGTTTTTCACATTTATTTATATAAAAGAAAGTTGAGCTGGGCCTTTAGCTCTTATACCCGGCCCAAGCCAGTCCAATATAATCTTCATCTACTCTTAAAAACACAAAATCCCTGACGAAAGTGGCTTCTCTGACCCCCAGCTATTTTGAAGCTGTGTTTGTTGGAAGACTTACAGTTTCCAAATTCTTCCCAATCCAACAAACAAATTATGTCTTCTCTCTTATTCTCAAACCCTCATTTATCCACTCCCTTCCTCCCGCAAAAACTGTAAGTTTTTACTAACTGCACTCAATTCACCTTTTTTTTTTTTTTTTTTGGTGCGAATTTATCGAATTCGATTGTTCTTAAGGCTTTGGTGTGTGGTTTCTGTGCAGTTCTGGTCATCTAAGCGCGACTAAAGCGACACCGTTTTGCACCATTTCTAGAAGCCCTACAGCCCCTCGTTGCGCTGTAGATACACCCTATGGAGGTAATTTTTTGTTTTTAATGTTTATTTTTAGAAAGTATCTTCGATTATGTAATTGGAGTTTAGTGTATTTGTATGGTATCTTGTTAATTAACCCTACATGCCTTTTTTATTTATCTGGTACTTCGAAAAATTTCAGTACATATTGTTGGCGCTCTAGTTGTTGAACAATTTATCAAATTCACAATGAAGAAAAACCGGACTGCTTTTATAGCAGCTGTTAATTTTCACGGCTGTTGAGTAATTTATTCGGTTTCATTTGTGCTTAATGGAGCCATAGAGATTATTCTACTTCAGGTCTTATGTAAAAGCAAAGTTATTTCTTTCTTTTGGTCTCTGATTGCTTTTTAGTTTTTGTGGTCCTTGTATGAGTGTTCTGTTTATTGTCGTTTTAGGATTCTGCTTGCTTTTGATAATCGAGTTAATTTTTTATGTTGAGCATTAGTTTTAACTTTTTTTTCTTTCCTTGGTATCTTTGGAGTAATAATACAATGCAACATGAGTAATTTTCAGGATGTTTGGTCCTGAATTTACGGCTTAAAATCTTAATCTCGATTGGATTTGTTGGTTGTAATACATGTATTTCTTTTTCTTTCTTTCTTGTGGGTGAGAAATATATTGTTGTCTTTCCTTTCACCTTATCATATAGAATTGTGCGGCTCTACCTTATTTAAACGGTCATTTGGGTTATATTCCAACTGCTGGATATTTGCCATGAACCAAGCAAATATGTCATTTGGTGCATAGAAAGTTGAAATTTATTGCATTGTCAGAAGCATCAATTTGGTTGGTATGAGGTTGTGATAATTTCTGGTTACTATGGAATGTGTAATGTGTTATATTGTCTTGGTGTATTCCATATGTTTCTGTGGTTTTCTGGTTTTGCTATTCTACTGTTTATGTCTTGTATAAAAGATGTGGTTCCATTTTCCTGTAGGTAATGTTCCAACATTTCCTCGAATGAAAGTTTGGGATCCTTATAGACGCCTTGGTGTAAGCCCTTATGCCTCTGAGGAAGAAATTTGGGGATCACGCAATTTTCTATTGCAACAATATGCTGGACATGAGAGAAGTGAAGAATCAATAGAAGCTGCTTTTGAGAAATTACTGATGACCAGCTTCAGACAAAGGAAGAAGACCAAAATCAATTTGAAAAGCAAGCTAAAGAAGCAAGTCGATGAGTCTCCACCCTGGGTTAAGAACTTACTCAATTTTGTGGAGCTTCCTCCTATAGAAGTTATTTTCAGAAGATTGTTCCTTTTTGCATTTATGGGTGGCTGGAGTATCATGAATTCTGCTGAAGGCGGACCTGCTTTCCAGGTTTGTTCTTGTTGTAGTTAGATTATGACTACAAGTATCTGTTCTTGGTCCCGCTTATATCTCTATATAGCCAATTATATTATTCATAAGTTATGTTAGTTTAATGCGTTAGTGAGAACTTATGTTTTCTCAACGTTCTCTTTATCGTGATTTGTCCAAATATGTTGTGACTTGTTAAAATGGGTTTCAAGTATGCAGGTCCGTGTCTCCTATATGTACATTAGTTGGAGTTTCCTGTATCTTGCAAGATATATATGTAGTCTACTTTTAAAATGGATCCTACCATACCATGCAATACTATGTACTCAAATCTGTTGTTGGATCTTATTATATCTTGCAAGGATTGGTTGGTTTATGCTGTTCTGAAACTCAAACATGGGGCAAATAAGGGATGTCATTGTATTAAACTTTGGTATTGCTCAATTTTATGAATATACTCAAATTACTGATGGATTCTACCTTGCTGATAAAGCATGAAGTTTTAGTGGGCTCTCATTTATCCTTGATTTTGTGCAAGGATTTCCAATGGACCTTCATTTGAATTGTTCTTTGATGGGCTAGCATTCATGCAGTTAATAATTTAGAATATCTGTCACTACACCTTTCTCTAAAATATTGGTATATACTCAATAGCTTAGACATTAAACAAGAAATATATTAATTCTGTGTGCAGGTAGCTGTCTCTTTGGCTGCTTGCATATACTTCCTTAATGAGAAGACAAAGAGCTTGGCTAGAGCATCAATTATCGGGTAAGTTTTGTAGTGAAAAGAACCCTGTTTTGCTTATAATCTCTATGTCTATCTCTCTTCATTCTCTAGTCTTAACAGTTTTGGTTATTAATTTCTAAGATTTTCTATTGCACAGATTTGGTGCACTTGCGAGCGGGTGGATTTGTGGTTCCATCTTTGTCCCAATGATTCCAACAGTTCTAATTCATCCTACTTGGACTCTGGAGCTTCTAACGTCACTAGTAGCATATGTTTTCTTGTTTCTTGGTTGTACTTTTCTCAAGTAAAAAAGTTGCAACCCTACCATGTTTACTTTAAAGAACTGAACCAAACTTCTCATTCTCCATTGTGTCATTGAACCATAAGTCATCCATTTTTTTTTTTTTTTTTTTTTTCTTTTGACTTTTCTTCAATAGAGTATAGTGCAGTTTGGCAATGCATACTGCAGTTTTTACAATAGGGAACAATTTTCTTAAACAAAGCTTTTTTATACATTTGGAATCTTCTTTTGGGTTAACAATAGTGCCTGCATCTGAAATTTCCAAGTACATACTAATCTAATTTAAGAATAATGGGAGCCTTACTTCCTTCTTTTACTCCTTTATGTGACAGCCGACATGGCAGTCTGACAGATGCCATCTCATATGTCACGTCACCCAACTGCCACATAGGATCCCCAAAAATTTTAAAAATAAAATTTTTGCTTTCCTAAATTCCCAATACCCAATTTTTTTTAAAAATAAAAGTTTATCCCAATTTTTTTAAAAATAAAATTTTTGCTTCCTAAATTTGCAATTCCCAAAATCATTTGAAATCTCTCCTTCCCCGAAATCATTTGAACCCTAAATTTTTTCAAACCAATTTCAATTGTAGTCACAATAATTGCTGTGTTTGTTATTACACTGTGCTTGATAGAGCATTGTAATTGAAACTGAGCGGAATTGGGAAGAAGACAACCTCTAAATTATGTTCTATTGCTGGTAAAACGATCAGAATTGATGTTGGGAAAACAAATTTATTTTGTTTCTCTTCCTGTCAAGTACCCCTATGGTTTCTGATTAAGTAATTGATGTATAATTTTATGTGAATTCTAGAATGCTGAAAGTCAACAGGAAAACGTGAAAGGAAGAGCTAGAATCAAAGAAGCAAAACGCTGATTGTTGCTAAATGCAGTTGGAGTCGGAGATGAAAAAGAAAGTGAGGGAATTAACAGTGTTGTGGAGAGATGGTAATCCATAAAGCAGCTCTTCTGTTGCTCTTTTTGGCAGCCTCACATCGCAAAGCTTCCCATCTCTTTCACTCAGGTTAGCACTAGTTCAGAGATGATACTCCTTTGGTAGTTGAGCGAAAGTTGGAAGAAGACTGACTTCGAAAATGAAATGATTTTATAGTTGGGTATATTAGTAGTGGTGAAGAACCCTAAAATTCGAAATCTCTCCTTCCCCAAAATCATTTGAACCCTAAATTTTTCAAACCCAATTTCAATTTTAGTGTTCAAATGATTTTGGGAAAGGAGAGATTTCGAATTTTAGGGTTCTTCAAATGATTATAGGGAAGAAAAGATTTCAATTTTCAAGGTTCTTCAAATGATTTTAGGTTTAAAAATTTGGGAATTGCAAATTCAGAAGCAGAAATTTTATTTTTAAAAAAACTGGGATAAACTTTTATTTTAAAAAAAAATTGGGAATTGCAAATTTAGGAACGCATAAATTTTTTGGAGCTCATATGTGACAGTTGGGTGACCGACATATGAGGTGGCATCTGCCTTGTCGACTGCCACGTAAGGGAGTAAGGCTAATATTATTCATAATTTAATGAATATTTTTATATCTATCTAAATTAAAGCAAATTACAACATGGCAAACTTTGATAAAATATTATAGGCACACATAAGCCTGTTCAAGAAACTAATATTTTGCTCTAGTCACTAAACTTCCTGTACCTCAGAGAATAAGTTAGAAAATGAAATAGGACAAAAATTGATATACATCGAAATTATTTGTCACAAGAAACATTTTCTTGAGTATATTTTGACTCTCATATATAAATCACTCACTCCGAAAAACCACAAATTTTCTATTGTGACTTGTCCCAATCTTGCAAGTTTAATAACACTTAACACAGACAATTCAATTACTATGTAATTAACAAACAAGTAAAATAACCACATATAATCAGAATGGGTGATACCGATCCATAATGATTATATATGTCAAGGGTGGTATTTTCTGATCATCCTCTTATTTTTCCTATTGTTCTTCATGGCACAGCTACCAAATCCGTAGCTGAGAATCACCAGTACTAGAGCACAAAGGTTGAATACAGCCAAATATCTCCACTGCTTCTTGATGTTCATCAGAAATCCTTCCTTGCATGCATTGCAGTCGTAACATAATTTATTTTGCTGGTTGTTCCATGTATTGCAGTCGCTGTTATTCGTGGCTTTGCCTTCTTTGGGAGCTGCCCACGTTGTTGCACCTTTCTGCTCGATCCCACATTCAGATGGTGGCTTGCAGCAACCGGACTGATACAAACCATATAGTAACAATACATTATTGATTCAAGTTTCATGATGATACACAAATTAAGGCCTTAGCTTAAGAAGTTATTTTTCAAAGCTAGTTTGACATTGAAAAATACCTATTTTACTGCATAAAACCAGAATAAGGTTTCCGGTGCTTGAAGTATGTGAATCATATCCTAACGCTTGTTTGCATCGAAAAAAATTATTCAATGACGGGGTCTTAAGTGTTGCCATTTTGGTGTTCTAATTTATGTATAGCGTGTCACGGTGATCAAAATAGGTCATAATTCCTAGTGTTGTAAGCTTTGCCACCAAAGCTTAAATGATTCAAGCCATTTCGTGGTTGTTTGAGAGGCTTGCGTTTGCAGAACTAGCAGTAAAATATGAGTGTTAAAGATTGTTTAATACAATTTAATTCATAAAATATGCCTCTCTTATCCAGAACTTGTTTTAAAAAATACTGCTTAATTAATATAACTCCAATCTTGGTTGCTATCTTCATATTTTTAAAATAAAATGTTATAAAATTCATTTTGGGCTGTATTTAATGACAAAAAATGAATAATCCAATCAGTCATTGGGAGATTTATATTCTCTCAAAACAAATTCTAATTAAATTCTTGCCGAATTCTTTAGCACAATTTATAAAATTCAACCAACTAGTGTAATATATGATCCATTTTAAATTAAGATTCATAAATCTCAGATTCCTATTTCATTTCGCTAATTTCACATATGAAAAAGAGAAAAAAAATTAAGAAATTAAGAAGAAGTAAAATTACCTGAATGAGAGACAGATTCTTCTTATAAAAATTGGAGGTTCGACAAATCTCAGATTCTCTCAAACAGCTCCTAATATCATCCCATTTCTTCCCCTTCACAAAATGATTCTCCAACCAGTTAGCAAAATCCCAAGTCCTTATTTTGCTAACTCCTTTATTCGAAAACGTCTTCCCCACGCCATTATTTGTCACCATGAATGTGAACACAGTGAATCCCAGAAGCCCAATCATCAAACAAAACATAGCGGTTAGGTAAAGAAACAAGAAAGCGTTAAGCCTGCAGCAAGAACCGATCAACCCCAGCAGAGAAACGACGAGTAAGACGATACCCGTTATGAGCAATGGATTCTCCAGGGCTTTCTCGCATTGTGAACTGCCAATGCCATGCACGTAGAAATAAACCGACATGGCGATGGCCACGAGGCCTAAGAGAAGAGATAGACAGTTCAAGAACCCCACAATGAAGTTACTTATACGAACCATCTTCAAATCTCCTGTTGAAGATCGAAGAAGAAGAGATTATTAAGGTTTACTGAAGGTTGGATGAGATGGATTTTGTTGAAGCGAGAATTTGTGGATTTTGTTTTGAGAGAAAGAGCCGGAAGCAGGCAAGAAAGAAGGAATGTCCACTTCGAGATATGTAACTGCTTAAGTGATAATCTTAATACAACGTTATAAAACGGTTGTTAAATTATTCATTTTAGGAATTTGAAATTTTGGGTTTGAGATTTTGTCCCTCGTTTTCTTGGTTTATTATGAACCTGCCATTTATATATGTTTTAAGAATATATTAAGTGGGGTGATTGATGCATCAACCATTATATCATTATCATTGTCTAACCGTTAGTAAGATTAGTAAACATCGTTTTTGTAAACTGTGATTCAAGTGTCCTTATTGTGAGATTTGTACTAAAAGGTTAGGCTCAATATATATTAGATTAATAGATTCTCTCACGGCGAATTTTTTTTTCTTCGTTCAATGATACCATATTAAGTTCCTATCCCGATTAAAAACGTTACGGGCATGTTTGATATATTATTTAAAAAATGTTATTATGAAAAAGTGTTTTAAGTTGAGTTGAGTTAGATTAAATCTAATAGGATCAGATTTTAAAAATGTGTTTGGTAAAATATTTGATAATTATATCATGGATAAAATGCTGGAATAGTTGTTTGGTACATTTTTTGAAAATATTTATTATTATTTTTTAACCCCTTACATTTATTAATTTAGCTAAACACATCCACAATAAAAGTTTAAAAATTAACTAAAGCATTCCAACCACCTCAGACGATAGCCAGCTGGCCACCATCGTTGGATGGCAGTCGACAATCACCTAAATAGCGCACGTCCAACTGGATTCGGCTGGTCGTGTGCTGATATGGTTGTTTTCGACCAGATCCACCATGGTTTTTGCCGAAAATGGCCATATCTATGGCCAAAGAGCTAGATAGATATGGCCGTTAATGGCCATATTAGCGCACGATCGACCAAATTTGATCAGTCATGCACTATTTCGACTATGTCGACCAACAGTGGCTACCGTCGACGATGGTTGCTGGTAGGCGGTGGTGGTCTCTTGGGTGGATTATTTTCACATTGGAAGGAGAGAGAAAATAAGAAAGAAAGAAAGAAAAAGAATGGTTTAAGTTGAATAGAGTTGAATAATCTGAAAACATGTCCCCCCTCTTTTGATTTTTAGACAAAAAAATGTTATTTGATTTAGATTAATTTTCAGAATAATGATTCCAATAAGTAAACAAACAATTATTATACTTTTTAATGCAAATAGGATAGCAGAATAATAATTCAAAATAGTATAACAAACAGGGGCGTTTATTCTTAAAAAAGAAATACAAAGATCAAGATGGGTTGTTCTATCTATATTTGTTCTTAATTTATTTAAGGTTTATTCTTAAAAAAGAAATACAAAGATCAAGATGGATTGTTCTATCTATATTTGTTCTTAATTTATTTAAGCTTCATATTCAAGAAGTAATAAATTAAAACATATAAAGAGTTTGATTAAAATTATCTAAGTTTTAGTTGTAGTCTAAAGATATAAAAATTTTGATATCAATCTACTTATCCTGTACGTATTTTATTTTTCTTTACTTCAACTAATAGTAATTACAAAAATAATAGAAGGTTTTCAAAGTAAATTAAAATATACCGAGCTTTTATTAGGAGTGAACTGACATGATATGTGATTAAACCATTAACCATACAGTTAATTTTTTTCACCATAGCCAGTTAACTACGCACATGGTGGATTTACAACTCTTTCATACTACAAAATACAATACCACAACACATGCCACATGCTCTAATATTGATTTCAAAGCACCTAATTAATTTTAAAATATACTCACCCAATATACATGTTGTGTATGATTTTTCCACCAAGCCCGAGATATCGCGAGGATATAGCTCGACTTCACCGGTTATCCGACCCAGCATAAGCTTATCGACATTCAGCTCGATCCAGCACAAGCTAGTCGCAAATAACCCAAATGATCACTCAATTAATTCCCAGATAACTTCAGATCCTAGATATTGTGGGGGAGACTAGATCAACAACAATCTTTGCACAATCACAGGGCCCAATCGTGAGAATATCGGAATTGCATTTCGAATCAATTGTAATCCTTTTATTTTCGCTCTTTCCTTTCTACAAATCTTGTATATAAACCCCCTTCAATGATGGAAAAGGGGTTACAAATTTTCATATAACTTTAATTGTAAGCTCTCACAGCAAATACAAACACAGTGGACGTAGGCTCAAGAGTTTATCTCGTCGAACCACTTTAAAAATCTCTTTGTTATTTACATTATTGCATTAATTATTTTTTCATTGCTGATTACCCGTAATCACGCACATATCGGTTCCGATCTTGCCAAGGTCGATCAGATCACTCTGGTTGGTGTAGATTTCTATACCAACATTTTGGCGCTAGAATGAGGGGCATGAACGTCCGTTAACATTCGGCGAATAGCCACAGTAACAAACCCAATCCAAGCCCACAATGATGCACACCAGATCAAAGACCACCACCAAAAACCTTGAAAATGTGGAAACCACCCACCACGAAGTGCAACAGGACATCGTTGGACGCCGACCGCCCGTGTCGCCAACTCAACACGTTACAAACCACTAAGGGTAGGGACGTCAAACCCCGAGAATGGCCAGCTGGTGGAGATGATCAGACTAACGGTTACACAAGCGGTGCAACAAAATATGGCTGAGCTGAGGAATCAGCAACCAACTACCTAGAATCTTAACCAACCACGCTTCACCAATGCCACCCCAAAAAGTACGAATTCTACAGGTGGTCGATCCGCTTCGTCGGTGCCGAGAAGCGACCAACACCCCCAAGATAGAAAACTGCACTCCATTCATGAGCGTGAATCCTGCGGGCAGACTAACCCCGTAAGGCGACCAAGGGAGCAACCGCTAGGGGAAAGTGAAGACAACATACACCCTAAAGACGCTTAGCGATATCCCCAGCTTTAGCATGCCAGTATTAACCCAAGCCCAAGACAAGATCGATCTTCGCAGGCTCGCGAGATGAGCCAAGTGCGTCAATCTGGCAATGACTGACATTCCGGTTATAACCAACGTCACGAGCAACGCACTGACAAGTATGATATCACTTATCAACCTAGCTATCATGACTCGACCTTAGGCATCAATGCGCATACTGGAGGGACCTCGCAAGCGACAGATTTGTGAACCCATTTGCTCGAAGTGAGGTTGAACAGAGCCAACCAGGGCAACCACAACAAAGACTTAGATCATGTGTAGAAAATGTTTGATGATCTAAGAGCCCACCTGAATGGCACGGTGGAGGAAATAGTAAGTTCTCCCTTTACAGAGGAAGTTTGCCAGCCCCAACTTTCGCAAGGATTCAGGGTGCCAGAGAGCAAGTTTGACAGGAGGGGGGACCCCAAAGACCACCTTGACAACTTCAATGACCTGATGAAGCTACACCAGGTCAGTGACTTGACGAAATGTCGATGCTTCGTAGTCACATTGGTAGGGAATGTCAAGAGGTGGTATAAGAGGCTCAAGGCGAACTCCATCAACTTTTGGCAACAATTCTATTCGTTGTACTTACAGCAATTTCAAGTGAGGAGGCAGTTCGCAATGCCGCTAAGCTATTTAAGCAACATTCGTTAGGAGAGAGACGAAACATTGACCTCGTACCTTACGAGGTTCCAAAACGAACAAGCAAAGGTCGTGGATGCGCCCGAGGAGCCCATCCAAACTTTGCTAATTGCAGGGATCAGATCAAACACAGAGCTATGGAAAGAGCTCAAAAGTGAAGATCACATAAGCCTAACCCAGTTCTATCAAATGGTTGCAAAACACTAGAGTGAAGAAAGCTCGCTGGCAGCACAGGCTAGAAGCTCGACGCAAGGAGCTCCGAACAGGCGACAAGATTGCTTATCAGATAAGCGCGGGGGCCAAGACTACAACGATAGGGACAACAACAGGTTCCATAAAAGACAAAGAACAGATAATCATGGAGACATGTAGCCTTTCCTATGGTATGCAAAATACACCACTTTCACTTAAGATATCGCCCACATCTACGAAGTCTCCCGTGAGGCAAATAGACTACCCGCTCTAGAAAGAATGAGGGGGGCTCCAAGTCAAAGAGATCGGCAAAAGTACTACTGACACCACAGGGATGTCAAGTATGACACAAATGAGTGTCAAGCTTTGAAGGACGCCATTGAGGACTTAATAAGAAAGGGCCACCTAAAAGAATTCGTTAAGGCGACACTAGCTCGCGAAAATATTGGCGAGCAAAAAAACCAAGTCCAGAGCCAAATTCAGAACCAGGTCTCGTAAGCTCTGCTGAACCCCAATGACTTCTTGATGGGCATGATTTACAAGGGGCCTGACATAGTGGGAAGCTCAAGGCGTGCTTGTGAGAAGTATGCTTAAGAGGCCAGAACAGACTCGGTCCCTTGAATAATGAGCTACAATCAGAAGTCGCCCAAGTGGCCCTGACAAGATAGTGAGGTAATAGGATTCATAATTGAGGAATGTGAAGAATCCTCTCGGCACAACCATGACGCGATCGTGATTGCGGCCAGAATTGGTAACGCCAAAGTGTTAAGGGTGATGGTCGATAATGAGAGTGCAATGAACATCATTTTCTTGGGAGCTTTTTGAGAAATGAGGTTCATAGAGAAAGACTTGAGGGCGTGCCCTTCACCGCTCTATAGGTTTACCGGGGACAGCTTGGTGCCAAAAAGAACGATCAATCTTCCCGTGACTCTAGGGGCAGAGCCTAAGATTAGGATAGTGATGGTTGAATTCCCAATGGTAGACTACCCAACCGTATACAATGTCATCCTCGGAAGGCCGATCTTGGATGATTTGAGTGTAGTCATATCACTGCGCTGCCAGAAAATGAGGTTTCCGACTCCTAGAGGAGTCGCAACGATCAGGGGTTGTAGAAAGGAATCT